ACGTAAAAGCTAGCATGTTCTTTTGGAGGTCACTGATATTTTAAGTTCTTTTTCTCCTTATTGTACTTGGACATAATTGGGAAAACAGATTCATTACTATGAACAGCATAATAACATGGTAAAATGCTGATTCGGGCTGGCCAGTTAGCTCAGTAGGTTAGAGTGTGGTGCTGATAACACCAAGGCTCAAAGTTCATACCCTATACCCACCAGCTGCCAAAAATAGGAGGCTTATCAGGCCTGTGGATCCAATTCAGTTAAGATCACCCCTTTATTTTTTTTCCTCAAGTTCCCAAGTACTCGAACACCATTTTAAATAGCTTACAGGTTTGCTTTCTGTTTGATTTCATATATTTCTCAAACTCAAAAAAGTGACCCACCATCATTCAGAAAACAAGTCTAGTTTTATCATTCTATGATTTGCTACAACTTACTAAACTTCTTTGCATTTAATGCTTTTGTGTTTTTATTTTTTAATTGGTGGCTGGCTGGTAAGGGGTTCTGAACCCTTGACCTTCGTGTTATCAGCACTGAGGTCAGCACTCTCTACCACTGAGCTAAACAGCCAGTCCTAATGTTTTGAATTCTGACACGATATTGCAGATGACCTTCATTTATAAAGACCAGACACATTTTAATGTTATAAATTTAGCAGCTGAACGTAGCAGACTTACATAAATGTTCTTCAGCAATTGCTTTTACATGGAGAATTATTATTGGTCTTTCAATGATTATTAATTTAAGGTTTCTTTTTTAGTTAACAAATACCTCTCATCTAGCACTGTCAGGAATTAAAATATTTCATAAGGTTTAGTTTTCCAGATAATCAAAGCTTAAAGATAAGTCCAAAAACTTAATTTTTTTTGGCAGCTGGCTGGTTGGTACAGGAATCCGAACCCTTGACCTTGGTTATAACACTGTGCACTCTAACCAACTGAGCTAACTGGTCAACCCCCAAAACTTAAAACTTTCTATAATGCATTATAAACATTTCAGTCTTTTAAAATGGAGACTAACAGACATAACTGAAGCTTTTATTGAAGAGGGCATAATATAAACTCCAACTACCAATAAGGGTGCTCTCAAAGACCCTACACTATCAGGCTTTTTTGCTTTTTTTTTTTTTTTTACATCAGCTGTTCTAACTTCTCCACTGTTTCAGTCAGTCATCACAGAAAACCTTGAATGCTTGCCTCTTTCCACATATATTCCCCAGGTAGCATATTGCCCTTTCATGACCTTAGCTCACGTTAAAAAACTTTTCCTTTTTAAGAGTAGCTTTTAAAAAAAAACTATGAGATAACTGTATCATAGAACATTTGGAAAATGAAAGAGGAAAATCACTCTTTTTTCTCTTATTTTTCTCATATAGATATAAGACAATGATGGAACAGCTGAACATTAGCCAACTACACAGCAGTTTCCACTATAGTACTTTAGTTAAGTCTTTATTAAGAAATGGAAAGCTTTTTTCATATTCAGGTCTGATAAACTATACTGCATATTCTTAAACTATTTTAAACTGAAAAGATACAAATTAATTTTTAAAAGGAAAGAATAATTCACTTAACACATTTAAACTACGTACTATGAACAAACTGAAGACACAGACTGGGAGGAAATATTTGAAAAGCACATAGCCAACATGAGATAAGTAACCCTAACCCCCCCCCCGCCAAATATATATACTGTATAGTCGGCCCTCCCTATCTGTGGATTCAAACAACTTTGGTTCAAAAATATTCAGGAAAAAAAAAAAAAAATCCACAACATTCCAAATAGCAAAACTTGAATTGCCATGAGACAAGTACTATGTTGAATCCATGCAAATGAAGTGATGTGTAGACATTGTATTAGGTATTATAAGTAATCTAGAAATTATTTATTTATTTATTTTTGGGGGGACAGCTGGCTGGTACAGGGATCTGAACCTGTGACGTTGGTGTTATAGGGCTGTGCTCTAACCAACTGAGCTAACCGGCTAGCCTTAGTGATGATTTAAAGTATACAAGAAGATATGAGTAGGTTACTTGCAAATACTACACCATGTAACATCAGGGATTTGGCCATCCGTGGATTTTGGTATCCATGGTAGGTCCTGGAACCAATCCCTCACGGATACCGAGGGACAACTGTATTTGTATAAAATCAGTAAGAAAAAGACAAAACAACCAATAGAAGAAAAATGGGCAAAGAATATGAACAGGTAATTCACAAAGGAGAAAATAAAATGGCCAACAAGTATAAGGAAAAAAGTTCAACCTTTTTAGCAATTAGGGAAATACAATTAAAATAACACAAGATACAATTTAAGCCTTTCAGACTGATAGGTATTAAGTCTGACAATACCAAGACTGGCAAGGATATTGAAGAATGGACACTGCAATATTCTTGTCATATAACCACTTTGGAAAGGACCCTGACAATCTCTAATATAGAGACCCATATACCCAATCACAGTAACTATCTTTGAGAAATGCACACAAGGATTAATGAATTAAAATGTCATTGTGGCACTGTCAGCTATTATGAAAAATTGGAAACTACCAAATATTTTTAAACAGAATAGAAAATTTTTAAATATTCACAAAAGAAATTAAATGAAATAGAGCTATGTGCATCTATATATACACATAAATTCCAAAAACATGTGAATGTCTCCTCTGCAACATATACCTACATACATAAATTTCAAAAATGTGGGAACTTTCTTTTAGAACTTTTAGGCACACATACTTTATATAAAGTTTCAGAACATGCAAGGTAGCACTATATAATATTATATATTGTTTACGTATATAAATATTTATTGTAAGCATGATAAAACACCAAATTCAGGACAGTAACTATCCTGGGAAAAAAGAAAGGGGAGTGGAGGAAGGGCACTTCAATTTTACCTGCAAATTTCTTTTTGCAAAATTTTAATAATTAAAAAAAAATTTTTTTTTGTCTTTTTTCGTGTCCGGCAACGGATCGCAACCCTCAGTGTCGCACCCGTACCGGACCGGGACCGGCAACGGGATCGCAACTCTCGGTGTCGCGCCCGCACCTCACTCAGCCAGTGAGCGGGAACCGGTCTGTATGTGGGATCCGAACCCTGGGCGGGAGCGCCACCGCACCCCCAAGCGGCACACTGTAGCAGTGCGCCACCGGGCCGGCCCCAATAATTAAAATTTTGTAAACTTTTTAAAATAACACCATACTCTAACCAACTGAGCTAACCAGCCAGTCCTTACTTGCAATTTTTTTTGTCATATAACTAGTATCACTTTCCAAATTAAATGCAAAATTTTTGTTTGGTTAGGATTTCATTTAGCATAGGATCAATAAATAATAGAAACAGAAAAACCTTAGTGAAAATAATCCTCAAAAACAAAGTATACACATCTAAAGACAAGATGTTAAAGTTTATCTATGTTGGGTGGTGCGTACATATTATTTGCCATATTTTTCTGTATAAGCTTGATGCATTACACAAAAATTTGAGAAATAAATATTTGGGTTAAAAAAACAAACACTATTTTTAGCTCTCTGACTACTCTCATCAACTTCAAATCCCTTCACTGAGAATGAGATTATATAAGCAGCCCACAGAAGAAAAATCCATTTTCTGGGCTATAGTGGCCCATCACTGTATCTGCTAAGAGATGAAGAAATGAAGCCAAGGGCAACATTTTACCTTTAGAACAAGAAAAATGCTTTAGATGTTATCTTATACTTCAACACTAACAATACATGACTGTAATGGTACTTGAGGTGACACAAGTCAACTAAGTGAATAAGTCTTGGTTTGTCAGATCCAAAATGATTTCAATTTCATTATACTTCTGGTAGAGTAACCAATTTGATCCTATTTGCTCAGGACTGCCCCAGTTTTAAAATCGAAAGTCCTGTGTTCCAACACTTCTAGTCTCAGGCATACTGAGACAGTTGGCCACCCCAACTTCTGGTCGTATCAAAACTCTTGAGCTGGGAGATAACCGTGAGATTGTCTAGAAAATCACATAATTTTACAGATGGGAAAAGCGAGGAATCCTAAATCTTCCGGGTATAAAAGGAACTTCCATGCCATTGAGCACTCTAGTTCAACTGCACATTCCATGGATTAACCCTGTGCAGATCTGGCTGGTGGTCTCCTAGTCTTCTGTGACTACTTTTAGTGACAAATATACACTAGCCTAGAAGGCAGCCCATGCTCTTTCAGTTGTATTGTAATTGTGAGAAACTTCTTTTTACTAATCCAGAACCAGTCTCCTGGTAATTTCCACCACTGTTCCTAGCTCTGCCCTCTGGCTCTAATCGAGGAAAGTCTGACTCCTTCACTGCCTAGTGCAGCCTGCATAGCTTATAGTTTGTCTGTGTTTTCCTCCATTCTGGCTCCACCTCTAAAAATCCCACTGATTCCCCAGCTATCGCACAGTGCATCTGTGGAGTCTACACTCAATTTGTAATGATTAGCTAATAGAGTCGCAGGCAGATTTGATGTCCGTGTGTGTAGCCTGTGAAGAGTCAATGTCCCATGCCACAAATTATATACCTTTCTTGATTACACCTCTCCTTTGAACTCTTAGGACTTCTACACTTAGCCTTACATTGTGCAATTATTCTGTCAATGAACATTTACTGAGCAACTGTCAGGAACTGTCATGGTTTTAAAAAAGTAAATAAAATGTACTCAGTCTGTAGAAGAGTAAGAGCAAAATAGGTAAAATAATAAATAATGTGAACTATGAGGTGTTGTACAATTCCAGAAGTTGGAAAAGGCTTCAATTGAGGAGGTGATACCTGAGCCAGAGAGAAACTTTATCAACACCTATTTCTTAAATAGCTTTGTATCCCTCAGAACCAAAGGGTATAATGCCTTGCCCTCTGTTGAAGTTCAACAAATACATAAATTTGGTAAAGTAAAGAAAGCCTGCTCAGCATCTCTTGGAGGTGAGGGGGGATGAGAATTGAATCCACAGTGTTGGCAAGGGTAGTTTCAGAGGCTGACACTGTACCTGGCTACGTACAGTATTGCTCAGGTGGTTGTCCTCAGACATCTGTGCATTCTGGAAGTAGGACAAGGGTGCAGGTAACTCTGTCATTGGAGCAACTGTTTAAAAATACTTTTTCACAGAAAACAAAGCCTCCTGGGGTTCTGAAAAGGGAAAAAGAAAACAAAACTTTGTGCATTATAATTATACTTTCATTTTAAAACACTTTCAAAAATTACATTTAGCAGAAACAAACCTTTCTTTCATGTGTTATCCTCCAGGCCAAACTGTCTAAGGACCTTGCAGGCTGCTGTCACTTGCAGACTCCTGGATTAGGTCTGAAATAGGATTTTACCAAGTCACCTAATGTTGGTCAAATCCTAGTAAATCCATTCACACCAATCAAATGCTTATAAAGATCAACTTGTAAGCCAGAAATGTATTAATTTGCTATGACCTTCAACTGACAAACTTATTGTCAACTCAAGGTACCTCTTTGGCAATGAGTAGATCCATGTGAGACACAAATATTTTCTTTTTTTTAAAAGATGACCGGTAAGGGGATCTTAACCCTTGACTTGGTGTTGTCAGCACCACGCTCAACCAGTGAGCTAACCGGCCATCCCTATATGGGATCGGAACCCATGGCCTTGGCACTATCAGCACCACACTCTCCCGAGTGAGCCACGGGCCAGCCCGACACCAAATATTTTCAATCACAAAGACACTTAATGACTTCGGATTTAGAGCAAAGGGAGCGGAATGATCTTAAGGAATGTACTCCTCAATGTTTTTTCTATGCTGACGAATCCAACCTAATTTTTCTATCTCCATATAATTATATGTCTAGTGCTTTTAATTTTGCAAAATTCTTTCTAGCATCTCATTTTATCCTTACAATGATGCCCCTAGGCACGGTGAAAAAGTAACATGCCTATTTTACAAAAGCAGAAGTGGACCCGTAGAAGTTCAGTGACTTGCTTAAGATCACACAATTAGGCAGACCAGGACAAGAATCTCAGACTGCTAACTTGCAGCCTCAGGTCTGTCCTTTGTGTCCTGGCACAGTGTTATTTACAGACATGACTGTTTCTCAGAGTTCACCCTCTGGGGGGGCCACATTCCCATTTGCCCGGCTACCTTAATTCCTATCAGTCAATCTTAATGACTTCAACTTTACCTTTTCACAGAAAGTCTTCAGAAATATAGATTAGAAAAATCTGCACATACGTAAGCAGTATTCTAATTAATATATAGTATCTAAATCATCACTGTGTACATATTTAAATAATAAAGCATTTTGTGAATGTCCTGTTTCATTTTCACTTTTAACTTCAGGATCCTCTACCCTCTAAATATTCTACTTTTTTCTTCTAATGATTTTTCATCAAAAACACATAGAGTAGTAACCTTTTTTCGAATAAGGTTTCAAGTTCAAATCAACCCTTAATTACCTATACTTGGATCATTTGAATCATGACAAATTTGTAACCAAGGTATGCTTTCCCTTCTATCCTACATGCTTTTAATTTGTAACCAAGGTATGCTTTCCCTTCTATCCTACATGCTTTTATATGTGATGTCCAACTTTCTCTTCCCCTCACATTTAGCCTATAGTCAGCTGGCATGGGATTAGCAAACTGCAAATTAACTAATTAATGTAAATTTGTTTAAAAAATAAAGTGAATTAAAAACACAAATAGAGGGGCTGGCCGGTTAGCTAGCTCAGCTGGTTAGTGTGAGGTGTTGTAACACCAAGGTCAAGGGTTTGGATCCCTGATCCTGCCAGCCACCAAAAAAAAAAAAAAAACCAACAAACAGAGACAACAGTTACTTTTATGGGGGGTGGGAAAACATGTAGGGTATTGGTAATGTTCTGTTTCTTGATCTAGGTGATAGTTACAAAGGAGTTTCAGTATGAATATTCACTGAGCTGTATATTCCTATGATCTGTGCATATTTCCATATTATACTTCAATCAAAAAATTCAAATAGGTTTTTATAGGAGTGAACCTATATTTAGGACTATTTATACCTTTGGTCCTATGTTTTAACATGGATAAAATTAAGATGTGGCAATACAGATGATCCCTGACCTACAATAGTCTGACTTATATTTTTGTGACTTCACTATGGTACAAAAGCTATAAGCATTCAGTGGAAACCTCATTTCGATTACCCATACAACCATTCTGTTTTTCACTTTGAAAGCCTCATTCAATAAATTATTAGAGATATTCAACACTTTATTAAAAATAGGCTTTGTGTTAGATGACTCTACCCAACTACAAGCTGATGTAAGTCTTCTGAGCATGTTTAAAGTAGTCTCGGCTAAGCTACAACGTTCAGTAGGTTAGGAGTATTAAATGCATTTTTGAATTTCAATACTTACGATGGGTTTAATGGAATATAACCTCTATCACAAGTCGAGGAGCATCTGTATATATATTAGCATAATCAAAAGAGAGGTCGATTCCAATAGAATAGTTATATTTTTAAGGTACAATAAGTGGGCCTGGCCTGTGGCTCACTTGGGATAGTATGGTGCTGATAACATCAAGGCTACAGGTTTGGATCCCTATATAGGGATGGCCAGTTAGCTCACTTCAGAGAGTGTGGTGCTGACAACACCAAGTCAAGGGTTAAGATCCCCTTACTGGTCATCTTTAAAAACAAAATAGTACAATAAGTGCTCCAAGTAAACGTTCTGACCTAAGTTTCTCGGTTTTTGTTTGTTTTTTTACAGCTGGCTGGTACAGGGATCCAAACCCTTCACCTTGGTGTTACAACACTAAGCTTCCAGATTTTTAAAAACTGACTAGTTGAAATTATAACATTAGTGTAGCATTGCTGACGGGCAAAGAGGGTACACGTTATGCTCTTCCTTTCCACAGAAACATTTAATACAGTACCACTATCTCAACTAACCCAGAAATGCCACAAGATGTGAAACAGAAAACAGTTCTTACCAATTACCTCCACTGGCTGCTCTGAAAACTATACCATACCATTTAAATTAGAGCTCTATTATGGAAAAAAACCTTAGAAATCTGTCATTAATATTCTCATATCTGGCCAGCCACCAAAAAAAAAAAAAAAATTCTCATATGATCCCTCAAAAACAAAACAAGTAAACAAGATAGCATTAGCTAAATGAAACAAGGCAAAAGGCAAGAAAGGGCAATGCAGACAAAAATAAATAAAAGGTAAGTAAAGTGAATTACATTTACAGATATAATATGAGCAGAATAAAAGTGATTGTCCGTTCACTACATAAGATTAATATAATCTTATACTATAAATTTAGTACAAATAAAACAATACTAAATAATGAGAAAAGTGATCATCTATTTACTAAATAAGACAGACACTGACAGTCTTCTTAATATGCAAAACTGAGAGACAGACAATGAGGGGCTTTAATTAATTTATTATGTTCACTTTATTCATTTTACAGATGAAAACAATGTGGCACACAGAAGTTAACTAACCTGCCCCAGGTCACATTTGGCAAGCAAAGGAGTCTGAATTTACATATTACACTAAATTGCCTCTGTATAAAACCCCATCCCTGCCTGCCTTCTAGAAGTTTATAGCAATGAAGATTAAGGTATATTAAGCTGGTTTTTATTACTAGTAAAACTACTGCTTAGAAGTAAATGAGATCTTAAACTTCAATAATTGTTCTAACTATAAATTAAAATGTGAAGTGCCAAAAGCATTCCCAATATAGAGTCCTAGTATTTTTTTTTAAAAAAGAGTAAGCTAAGACACACACACACACAAATAAACTATAATGAGAATTGGTTCATTCTAATTTAAGTAGTTTCCATTTCTACCTTATGCTTATAGGATCTGTTCAGCTATAAAAAACCATGCACACTGATCATCATTATGGAGTTTTCTCAGATAAATCTTTTAAGAATCATCAATAATATAGTAGTCACTTAAGCATATCTCAATACTACTTTCAAAGTTCATTTTGCATCCATTATTCCATTTTATTCTTTAAAAAAAAATCCCATGAGGAAAGGAATGTGTATTTACAGTTAAAACAAAACAAAACAAAACAACCTCAGGAAAGGTGAAGGAATTTGCCTGTGCATGGTTATGGGACAAGTGAATAACAATGACAGTTCCAGAACCCATGTCTTCTGATGCCTAGCCCAAGATTTCTCCAGTTCACCCAGAGAAACTTCATTCCTCCCTTGATGCTCTGAAGTTCACAGTGCTACAGGGTGAGCCTATTTGAAAGAGCTCCTCTATACATGGAGCTCAGTAGGAAGCAGAGGCAGGGAACAGGGCTAGGTATTCAGTCAGGCCTGGTGAACAAACAAACACTGTTGGTACAAAGAAAGAGGCAGGCAAAGCCAGATTTGATTCTGGTCCAGTAACAGCTGAAAACAATTGATGACTGCATGGAGAAGGTCAATGACCTCACTATTCAGGCAGTGTGGCAAAAAACACTAGTAAACTTTACAATATTCTCAGCTGAGTCCTGTAAATAGGAAGATAGTTGCTGGGAAGGGAGGATCTTTCATGTGACCCGGATGCACAGGGAGCAGGAGCAGGGACAGAAGTAGATTTTTGTGTTTTTGCTCTCTGGTCACCTGCTGAAGACTGACAGAGCACAGCACTTGAATTCACTGCCATCATTTCCTTTCTCTCAAGACACTTGGTCAATTAGACAAACAAAAAAGAAACATTTCTCCGATGGGCAACTAGAATTTCTTTCTATTATATAAATATATATATGTATATATATGTGTGTATATATATATATATATATATATATACACAAAAAACAAAAAAGGTCTAAGGAGAACTACAAATAACCCAACAGCCTCAAAACTTAGATATTTCCAACCAGAAAACTTTCTACCCATCAGCACTTCAAGAAATATCACAGGAACAATGTTTAGAATCTCAAAATAAGTTTATAAAAATCCCATTCAAGGAAGCACCAACAGAAAAGTACATTTTTTTCTCTCTCACTACATTGCAACGTAACAACTAAACCTCAAACTCCTATAGAGCATGGTTACTTAATTATTGATAGCATTTCTTTCACTCTCAGATAAATGTAAATAGAATTTGTACTCTACAAAAACATCTTCATGACACTTTTAATCATGATCTCTGGCACAAAGGGCTTTAATGTCTTTAAGCCACTTGCCTAGTTTCTCTTTCACTTAGAAAACTGCTAAAAGTATTTTTCGCTGCATCTGCACTGTAACGCTAACATTTTCAAGTGTGAAATGAGCTTCTGATTTATTCTTTTTCTACAAAGGTATTTAAACAGCCTTGGTGTTACTTTGACAGCTTCTCCCTGGACAGGCAGTCCAAGTTCTGATTATATGGAAGTGCTGGGAAAGCCTCTACTTGAGTTTTATTTATTTTTTTTAAAAGATGACCGGTGGGCCGGCCCGGTGGCGCACTCGGTAGAGTGCGGCGCTTGGGAGCGCGGTGGCGCTCCCGCCAAGGGTTTGGATCCCATATAGTGACCGGTCCGCTCACTGGTTGAGCGTGGTGCGGGCATGACACCGAGGGTTGCGATCCCATTGCCAGTCGTGGTGCAGGCGCGACACTGAGGGTTGCGATCCCGTTACCGGTCACGAAAAAAAGACAAAAAGGAAAAAAAAAGATGACCGGTAAGGGGATCCTAACCCTTGACTTGGTGTTGTCAGCACCACGATCTCCCAAGTGAGCCAACCGGCCATCCCTATATAGGGATCCAAACCTGTGGCCTTGGTGTTATCAGCACCACACTCTCCCGAGTGAGCCACGGGCCGGCCCTTCTACTTGAGTTTTTAAAAGCTCACATCCAACACTAAAGGTAATCAAACTCTAAACTGCATTTTATAATTGAAATTAATAAGAATAATTTAAAATTAATGTAAAACTTTAGGAATACATCCTGTAAAGATGATTCTTTTTTTTTTTTTTTTAAAAAGATGACCGGTAAGGGGATCTTAACCCTTGACTTGGTGTTGTCAGCACCACGCTCAGCCAGTGAGCGAACCGGTCATCCCTATATAGGATCCGAACCCGGGGCCTTGGTGTTATCAGCACCGCACTCTCCCGAGTGAGCCACAGGCCGGCCCTGTAAAGATGATTTTTAAGAGGCTAGGAGCAAATCATTTCACCAGCCTTATAAGAGACTTTGTGAAAGTGGAAGACACTAAAAGAGCAAGGACAATAACACATCCCATTTGGTGAATTTTTTCCTCCTTTCATCCCACTCCATCTCTGTGAACCATCTATGGTAGATTAAATTATCATTCAGCAAATATTCACTTCCTCTGCTAGCATCCTCAAGAGATACACTTCTCTCCAGTGATGTTGGGGTCAGCTCTGTGACTTACTTTGGCCTCATGGTGGGTGCAATCTACTTCTTACCCTAAGCCTTAGGGCAGGAGCATATGAGTTACTTTGGTCGATGCGATCTTAGCAGATGTGGTACAAGCGGACATTTGAACTATGCTTGTAGAGTTGGCCTTGCCTTCTTGCACTTCTGCTGTTGCCTTGAGAAGAGCAACAGCAGAACAGTTGGGTGGCAAACTGTCCCTTCAACCTGGGCCCCAGAATAAGACACATAAATCATAATTGCACCCACTGATCCATGGGCCTACACCTTGAAGCAGAGCCTTGAGTGAGAATAAATGCTCTAACCCACTGAATTTGGGGAAGTCCGTTATGTTATGTAGAGTTATAAAGCAATTCGTTTTTAAATAATGGTTATGTTCACTCAGAGATGCAAGGAAGATGAACAAAGACTTAAAATTACAAGTCCAGACCCCTTGAAACCCTTAGCACTAAATGTGTTTAGAATTCAGATTCTCTTTTTTGATAAAGGAAATATAACCCAAATGCCATGTGTTATATTATGCCCTCACAGGATCTTAAATAGAACCACAAAATCAAACACACTATTAAGTCTATATAGTGAAACATACGAATAGTCTTAAATCACATAAAAAATAAAATAAAGAATATAAATAGGTTCAGGTCAGATTCTGCTGTCAAATTAGTTATGAAAAACCTTTCGGTTTTCAGGAGTTTTTGGATTTCAGATTTGTGGATATGGGACTATGGTCCTGTATTATCAACCTCTGTGTAATTACAAAGACTCTTTCCCAAAAGCTATTTAAAATCTGCAAGGAAGGTAGGATTAAACCTGAATCATTGTCTCAAATTCTCTGTGCAAATGGGTAGAATACAACTAATTTTTTTTTTTTTTGGCCTCTGTCCAGTATGGGGATCCGAACTCTTGACCCTGGCAACTAATTTTTAATGAAAAAATGATTACTTGCATCAAGTTAATTTGTAAATCACTGGTTATACTCAGCATTGCCTGAGTGCTTTCTTTTGCTTTGGATCAACTTAAACAAGGAATTGTACAAGTCACTGTGAAAAACAAACATTAATATCCTTTAATCAACAAACACTTATTGGGTTTCTTCTACATAACTAGATACTGTGATAGGTGCTGGGGATACAATTGAATCAGATATTGCTTTTGTTTTCTTAAGAAACTTACAATCTAGAGGGGAGGACAAACAAGCAAATTTTTATATTGATTACATGTTGAAATAAAAATGTTAGCTATAGCGGGTTAAATAAATTATGTAAATTAATTTCATCTGTTCCTTTTTACCTTTTAAAAATACGTTTACCAGAAAATTTAAAGTTAACATTTGTGGCCCACATTATTTATATATATTTTTGAGATGCTGGCGGGTACGGGGATCCGAACCCATGACTTTGGTGTTACAAGGCTGCGCTCTAACCAACTGAGCTAACCGGTCAGCCCTCACATTATATTTCTATTGGACAGTGCTGCTCTAAATCTTCAGTTCTTTCTGCTACATCAGGCCTAATACTACTAAAAATCCCTGACAATCTTTTCTTTCACGAAGCTCCCCTCCCTCAGCTTTTGTGACACTGCACTATTGTGGTTCTCCTCCCACCACACTCATTCTCCTCAGCTGTCTCTGTCTTCTCAGCTGTCTCCTCGCCCTTCCTCCACCCCCTCATTAAAAGTGTTCCCAAGTGTTTGTCCTTGGCTTCCTCCTACCCTCCTTTGCTTGGGCGTCTCTTCCACTGCTCCAACACCAACTGGTAAATCTATTTAAGTGACTCGTGTTTACAGTTCCAGTCCCATCCACAGGACATTTTCACAGGCTGGCACTTCAGAAGTGATACTTGCAAACCACTTCCTCGTCTTCCTCTCTAGGCTAGTTCTTTCCTCCTAACTTCCTTATTTCTGAGATCATCTCTCCCATTCTCTAATTTTAAAACCTACTAGTCAAATTTACACTTGATTCCTTGCTCCTCAATTGATTGCCATGTCCTGTTCATGTTTCTTCTCCTTTCTAAGCCTCTGTCACCACTGCAGATCGAACTCTCATTATATCTCACCTGAATTAAGCAAAAATCACCTCAATCTCTCCCCCATTCCAGCCTCTACTACCAGATTAATGTGCCTAAAACAAAGCTCTGACCACGATAGTGCCACACATTTGAAAAAAAAACCTGAGGAAAGGAAAAGCAAGCACGGAACACATGAAAGCATCAGACATACATGGCTCGTGACAGTCCCGATCAAGGTAAAGCATCAGACCCCGTTTTCCTCCTGGAACGTGAGACATGAGGAACTTAGCCATGAGTACCACACGCTTCTGGACAAGGACCCGCTCAGGGCAGGAGGCGAGGAGTTTCACCAGTTCCTCAAGGGGCCCCAGCCTAAGGCGCTTCCTCTTTCTCCCGCTCCACTCCGGTCAGGACGGTTAATCTCGGCCCAAGGCACCTGCGCCCTGAGATGCCTTCGAGAAACCAACATTTCCGGATCAAGCTCCGAAAGGGAATCTCTCCTCCACCTGACCGTGCGCCGCGCCTGGAGCCCGAAAAACGGGCCGCCCCTCCTCGTTTCCTACGCGGGGCTCCTCGGTCCCCACCCGGCCGCGCCCCGCCCCTCATCCTTGAGGACACCGGCTCCGCGGCCCGGGCGGCGACAAAGGGCCAGGCCCTGCCGGCGGCTGCCCGCGTCCGTCCTAGGTCAGAGGGGCTTTCCTCTCTCCCCGGACTTCTCATCACGCACGTACGCTCTCCCTGCCGCTCCCGCCACCGCCGCCGCCACCGACCGCTCGCAGCCGCAGTTACTCCCGGAGCAGCAGCTGTTTTGTTTCCGATGTGAAATCTCGGCTGCCGGAGCTGCCAGTCCCAGGTCCCTCCCGGGAGGCCTCACCGGTGTCGTCATTTCCGGCTCTGGAGCCGTTGGCAGCTGCTCCGCCCACCGATGGAGGGGGTGGGGCCCGGGGAGGGGCGGGGCTTCGGCAGTACGCGCGGACTTGGGCGGACCCTAACCTCCAGCTGGACTTCGCCTGAAGAAACGCGCCCAGAGTGCTGACGTAGATCTGAGGTAGTCGAGGATCCGAAACTGCTCTTAATCTGAGGACGAAAGCTTGCATATGAACTGGGCACAGCGTACCCTTCTCCCGGCCTACAGTAATAGCATCTTAAATCGAACGTCTTTCATTTCTAGATAGTACCTATTTGTACAGTTTCTCAAAATGCGAACCAGCTGCATCACAATAGGATGCCAGTTAAAATTGTAACTATTGGTGCCCCACTACTCCACCTAATGAATCAAAACTTCTGGTGGGTGGGGAGAACCTGAGAAACTGACTTTTAAACAAACATCTTCCAGGATTCTTGGGCTCTAAGTTTCAGAACCAGTCTTCCTAGGTGGTAAGCTTCTAGAAAGCAGAAAATGTCTTATTTTTGTAATCCCCAAACCTAACAATATCTGGTTCACAGTGGGTTGCTCAGTTACTTAATCTTTGCATCCGCCAGCTTTTTGTCCAATTGCAGTAAAGACCCTACCAACAACTTAACTCATTAAGCAGCATACCACACTCACTTTCATCTAAAAGCGAAAAAATATGAATACTACCATATTAAACCAAAAGTGCACAACGGAGAAATGTTCAAACCCACAGGTAATCAGAAAACCAAAAATGAAATTAATGACACATGGTATCTGGCACATTTTTCTAAAATTCTTTTATGTTCCTCCAAGATGTCCTTTCACATTCTTAGAGCATCAATCCCCAATCTCTCTCTCCTTACCCTGTCCACCCCATTCACAACCGTGGCCCAATACATCAATAGATTTCGATAGTTTTTACACACAATTGCTTCATATTTAAGAACAGAAGTAATTTTTTCCATTAATGGGGAGTAAGAGAAGCAGAGGGGGGGAAAGGTTGAACAAAACAAAAAAAGGTATCTTTTTAGAATTTCTCACCTCCCTCCCCACTACACACCTTAAACTTCACAAGGGTAGGGATTTTTCGCCGTTTGTTCACTTAAATATTACAAGTGCTGAGACCAGTGCCTACCACATAGAACAGTTCAATACATTCCATTGAACAATCATAGGGTAAAACCCATCTACTTATAAACTAGCTCAATCTCTTTGATTGTAATCTGCTAACATGAGAAGAACATCTTAAAATGCTGGTAAACTATTCTTAGAAACAATCTCAATACAAAAATTTTGTGCAATGATATTCATGGAGTATTATATAGCAAAAACTGGAAAGCAAAGTGTTATACAATAAATTATGGTTCAACCACTTCAGAGAGTGTCATTAAAATTGTTCAAGAAAATTATGTGCAATCGAAATTTCTAAGTGAAAAAACATTTTTTGTTTACATTTAATGTTAAAATGCATTCCTGCAAAAAGGAAACAAAAAAGGTATTAAGATAAAAAAGCAGGGCCAGCCTGGTGGCGCACTGGAGAGTGCACCGCTTGGGAGCGCGGCGGCGCTCCCGCAGAGGGTTCCGATCCCATGTGGAGACCGGTTCCCGCTCACTGGCTGAGCGCGGTGCGGGTGCAACACCGAGGGTTGCGATCCCGTTGCCGGTCCCCGGTACGGGCGCGACACCGAGGGTTGCGATCCCGTTACCGGTCAATAAAAAAGACAAAAAGGAAAAAAAAAAAAAAAGATAAAAAAGCAAACAGTGACATTAACTGGATTACAAATAATTTTTCTTCTTTTTTTCTGTATTCCTTCAACTTTTTAGGAACATGCACACCCAGGATGCACCGAGCAAGAGCCAGCAAAGGACAATGGGAAAGACAAGACTAGAGGAACAAGGCAAAAGTGATACCTTGGACACCCAGGGAGAGTTCTGAGCAGACAGCAAATGTCCATAGTGATTAATAGATAAACTAGGGTGTAGCCTCTTACAAGGCTAGTTTCTCACTTACACTGCATCAGTCACCAGCTGACAGTGGAATGGTGTACAAATTAAACTAGATTACGACTTGAGAAATTTGGAGGGCACATAAAAAATATAAGATGCTCTTTCTGGAATCTTGGTAGTGTAGTGGGAAGGATATAGGATCTAAGGTAAGTTTTTCTGTGTTGTTCTTTAAAACATGTTCCAGACCAAGGGAAGAAAGAAGATAATGGAAATATCTGAGCAAGGTTCAAGATAACTGGAGAACATAGTTAGAGAACAGAGCCAATGGGGTGAGTGAGGTCTTTCAGAGAGAATTCATGGAATATATATCTTTACTTACAGAAAGCAAGAGGTTTAAGCTGGATGTTGTGGATGTTGTCATAAACTGGAAAGCTAGAACTGGAGAGAATGTGCATAATAAGTTTTGTTAAGCTTGAGGGTTATTTGCTAGGTGAGGGGGAAAATCAAATGACTTAGTATTTCAGTGAATATTTTTTCAATACCTACTATAGCATTGAGTATTAAAATAGTAAAAGCTGCAGTGTGTGTGAACAGGAGCAAAAGTCCCAGTAAAAGAATGGCCAAATAGCACTGAGGGTCCCAGACTGGTGCAATGATGTATTTGCATTTTCCCCAGATGAGTTTGGAACATGGGAGGATGAAGAAGTGAATGATAAACAAATGCTGGCAAAACCGAGGAGTACCTGGTGAAAGATGAAGCAGAAATTCAGAGTTCTGGACCTGAAAGAACTACTACTTGGGGGAGGGGGTAGTTAGAGACTAGGGAGGCTGCATCAAGTCACTACTAAAGTCAGGTCAATCAGAAAACAAAGCCCAATTCTTTACACCAACGAACCAGCAATCCAATTCATTAACACTTCCACATAAAAGCAGTTTGCCTGTACTTAAGCCTAATGTCACTGCCATGATTCTTAGAGGAGGAAAGTAGAATTGATGACACCAAATACTGTAATCAGTGCTTGGTGATTGGCCATATTCTATCTTATTAGCTTCCACTCACATCGTTCCAATTCTTTGTAAATCACTAGTTTTCTCCTTAAGATCAGGGGCCACTTTGTTTTACTAGTATTCCTAGCCTTAAATTCTGAATATGTTTACCATTGTTTTATTAAATCTAATTTCCTTCTTAACCAAGAACTTGGACCCCTTATTTAGAAACTTGTCCAAATAATATACTGAACAAAATGAAATTTTAATATCTGTGGCTTTTCCATCTACTAATTAGTCATCTCTTCAACTGGTTTGCTAAAATTCACTAAATTAATTTTCCATCTAATTAGTCAATTACAATTCACTAGTTTTCCGTCTACTAGTCAATTCTCTTCAAAATGACCTTCATGGTTTCTGGATTCTACACTGTGAAGTGTTTATCAGTTTTTCCCTTTGTTATTAAAAAAACCAGGAATAGTTGTTTAGATCTATTCTTAAATTCACAGTATCTTTTTGTTTCAACAAAGATTTGCTAAAAATTCCTTCACTCTATACTGGCATTTTATTAACAAGCACTTTCTTCTGCCCTTAGGTCTACATTAGCATCTAGACCAGCACTGTCCAATATAACCCTGGAATCATGACAAAGTTCTATAATCTGCAATGTCCAATATGGTAGCCACTAGCTACATATGGTAATTAAGATCCTAAAACCCAAATACTGCAACAAAACAACCTTTGATTCTTCATTTCAGTCGTATTTTTGAACACTTGAAATATAGCTAATGTGACTGAAGAACTGAACTTTAAAATAGACTAGGTGACATCTAAGCTCCCTTCTCCACTACCTCTGCTTAGAATCTTCCTGTTAGCCCTTTCCCCTTGACTTTAAAATTAGCTGATCAAATTGGATAATTCATATTGTACATTGGATATACAACTATTTGTGTTCCTGAACTGTTTTCGTCATTAGATTTTCAACTAACTAAAGAGATCTTATGTCACCTCTACTTAGCTCATAACATGAATGGCACGACATGTACAATAAATGTTAACTAAATTAAAAAAATATATATAGGGGCCGGCCCGTGGCTCACTCGGGAGAGTGCGGTGCTGATAACACCAAGGCCACGGGTTCGGATCCCATATAGGGATGGCCGGTTGGCTCACTGGCTGAGCATGGTGCTGACGACACCAAGCCAAGGGTTGAGATCCCCTTACCGGTCATCTTTAAAAAAAAAAAAAAAAAAGAATTTCTCTTGCAGTTACATATATATATATATATATATATAT